CAATCCCGTATTTAAAATACGACAAAGATAAAACAAATTAAAGACCTACCCAAAAAGAAGAAAAACAAACTTCCTTTCATCCATCGATTAGTCAACCATGTCTCAGAACCTAGCAAGTTAAAGTTGCCTATAAAAATCTATGTTTCTTGTGTTCTATTTAATAAAATCCAAAAAACTACGAAAAAGAAAGAAATTAGTATTAACTAAACTAGGAACCGGCAAAAACTCGAATATCACACGCACAAATTCTTTTAAAAAACAACATCTGAACAACCTAAAAAATAAAGAAAACTATTATCTAAACTGGGTACCTGCAAATATTCGAATTTGCACTGTTTTGTGGAGATTAGCGGCGTTGAAAGCAATTAGAAGAAAACAGATAAAACCCTTCAAAAGCCTCAACGCCAAAACCTTGTCCTTCTCAAAGTAACTGCGATAGCACAACAGAACTCAAAAAATTAGGTCTTTTAAAGAATTATAACTAATAAAGAAAATTGTATTTTTTTGAATTTGAAGGAGGGAAGCCCAAAATCTTACCGCCAAAATCTTTTAATTTCACTAAAATTGGACTGAATTTGATAAGGGAATGAGCCGATTTGAGAAATCACGGGGTCTTGAGATGCTTCTAACAAAGGAGCCCTAGGAGTATCACGGGGCCTTTAGTTGGCAATTGTGGTCCATTTACATATAGTTTAACTTTGTATTTTCATCTTTAAATTCAACATCTAGCAATAATATGGAACATTGAAATTTTACTCAAAAAATTTAAAATCGGCAACATTTTTTTAAAAAGGATTAACGTTTTACTTAATACGGGAATCTTTAATTTTTTTTAATAAATTATAAAAATAACATAATAAAATAATATATAAAGTACATTAGTTTTTTTATAAAATTTAAAAAGATTAAAAAAAAATCGAAGAAAAATAAAATATCTAGAATTGTTTTATAAGTATACATAATGCTAAGAAATAGAGGCCAATAGCAAGTGACGATATAAATTTCGGCTATTCATTTTCAAAATAAATATTCAAATGATTTTCACCTTCGCGATATTCTCACTCAAATAGTAAATATGCAATATTAAGACTCGATATCTTAGTTAATCTGAATCTTCATTTTTATGTATATGAATAGAACTTTTATCATTCATTTGTTAAATTATTTTTAGGGTCAATATTACTAATTATAAAATTTAACATATGATTTACGTAGTAACTCCCGAACGCTAAGGATAGGTGTGTTCAGGATGTACAATTTGACATTTGGGGCGTAAGCCTCGCACATAAGCCGCCGCAATAAGTGCCTCGCCCAGGAGTGAGTCATGGACTAGTCCCAGAAAGATTTTTAAGACATTAATCGACAATTGCATAACTCGTCTATTCGAAGGATAAACATCACAATATTTTAAAAAATATAATAATATGAATAACGATGTTTTGATTCTAGACAAAGAATAATTTAACAATTAAAAAATACAGAAATTTCCAATATTAGATGTACATGTTCGTACGTAATTATCGACTGATAATATGACATTTAAAGTAAAACTCATTATTTTTTTGGCATTTGTATCAAATGTCATAACCTTTAACATATTTTGTTCAAACATCGTGTTTTTACTATATTTTGTATCAATTATCTTTTTTTTTTATTGACGTCTTATATCAAATGTTATTTTTTGCAATATTTAATATCAAACGTTGTAGTTTTTACGACATTTCTTCATAAATGTTGATGTTTTTACGATATTTCTTCATAAATGTTATTGTTTTTACGATATTTAGTATCAAATGTCATTTTTTTTTTACAACATTTAGTATCGAATGTCATTATTTTTATGACATTTTGTATCAAACGTCGTAACTTTGATGACATTTCTTCATTAATGTCGTCGTTATTACGATATTTCGTATCAGATGTCATATTTTGATGACACTTAGTATCAAATGTCGTTGTTTTGTGACATTTTGTATCAAATGTCGTAGTTTTTACGACATTTGTTCATAAATGACATGAATTTCACGTTTTTCCGACATTTATTTCAAATGTCGCTAAATAAATACCGTCGTATCCTCACTTTCTTGTAGTGTCATCGTATAAATCTGTTAAAAATTAGTTAAATTATCGTTTTCTTCTTTATATATGTGGTAGAAATTGTATTCTGTTAAGTTTACTTAGTTTAAGAAAAAGATAAAGACCCCACTTTTAACCATGTTTTTTTAGTTTGGGATCTTTTATGTGAGTTACTTTCATGGTTCATTTATAATTATCTAAGAAAGACTTCTAGCTTCAAATGTTTTGATGCTTTGAATTATAGTAAACATAATGTTATAATATAACTCTTCTCTTTAGTATTAAAGTATTGCCGTTTCTTGTAGTTTTTATATTTAGTCGTGATTTTTATGTTGCTAATGAGTGTAGTTTGATTAGTGCCATGTTGGTGTAGATGAGTAGAAATATTATGTCAGTCCTTAAGAAACAGTTGGTTAAGAAGATAAAAGATAATAATTAGCATGTAAGTTTCTTTTATGAAAAATAATTTTAGTTTGGACATCAATGTAAGAAGCAATTTGGGCTTAGAAGAATACTTGTTATTTTGTATTGTCTTGGTCATCGAGGCACTTAAGCAACACGGGCCAAATAAGCTAAAATCTGTAGGCACAATGACAATAGAAAGTAAGATGGGCATTTTCTTTAAAATCAATAAATTGTCTTTTGTGAAATAAAATAAGTGGCCTAATACTATGAAAGTTTAACATAAGATTACCCGGATTTAATGTCTTGCATTAGTTAGAAATTGTTTTTAATAATAATATTTTTTTTTCGGTCGAACAAGTAATAAATAAAAAAGAAGCGCTTTTTAATTAATTTAGACGCTAGGCAATTAGTAGGCGGGCTTTAACTTCATGGAATCGCTTGCGTAACGTGATGTTTAACATTCAATAATTTAATTCAATAATGCCATACTATACTCGTTAGTTTTAGTTAATTTTTAATTTAATAAATCCATTGCTAAACTCGCGGATTCGTTTGCGTAGCGCGATAGTTAACTTTTAATAAATTTCAAAATTATTTTCTTCGAATGTAGTAATTTTCTCCAAAAGAAATAATGTACTAATAATTCTCGTCATGACTGCGAATTCGCTTGCGTAGCGCGGTTATGACAAAATCAATAAAATTTATCCCAGTCACACATTCGTTTGCGTGATGCGGTTAGGACAATTTTATTTAAATCTTTTCTTTAATAATTTTAATAATTAAAAGTGGATAGGTAAAACATGAAAATTCAAATAAAACACAGTTTATCCAAAATGAATTCAAGCAAAGTTTAAGTCAATAAAGCGACCGTGGTTGAACCACGGGACTCGGAAAATGCCTTACACCTTCTCCCCGGTCAACATAATTCCTTACTCGGATTTTATTTTCGCAGATCAATTAATAATAGAGTCAAACCTTCCTTTGATTAGGGATTCAAATAAAAGGTGACTTGGAACATCGAAAAATCAATTTCAAGTGACGACTCTGTAAATAAAATAATTCCTATTCAAATTTGTTACTTCAATTGGAAAAACTCTTTAACCCACAATACATAAAATAACATATATCATACCTTTTTTTGGGGGGAGGGGGGAGGGGGGGGGATAGAAAAGGGGTGTGACAGTATATATTTTGTATTGTGACAGTCTATTGTATATAAAATGTATAGTGGCAGTCTATTTAGTATAGTTTTGTATAGTGACAGTCCATTTTGTATATATTTTGTACGATGATAGTTTATTTAGTATATATTTTGTATAGTAACATTCTATTTTGTATATATTTTATATAGTGACAGTCTATTGTATATAAAATGTATAGTGACAGTCTATTTAGTATATTTTTGTATAGTGACAGTCTATTTTGTATATATTTTGTACGATGACAGTCTATTTAGTATATTTTTGTATAGTGACAGTCTATTTTGTATATATTTTGTACGATGACAGTCTATTTAGTATATTTTTTGTATAATGACAGTCTATTTTTGTATATATTTTGTATAGTGATAGTCTATTGTATATAAATTGTATAGTGACAGTCCTATACAATTCCTCTTGCTTTCTTTTGTTTCTAGTTGGTTGTAGTAAATTTGCCTACAACCTTGAATTAATGCGAACCTCATTGGTTAAGGTATTGAAACTACACATTGGCATCATAAATCAAAACTCTAAAGGTGTCATACTGCTCATGAATGTGAACATTTCATCAACAACATACAACTTAAAGAAAGCAAAGAGTATTTGTTCGACAAACAATGGACCTTGTCGCCTCAATATGTCATACCCTTTTACCCAATATGTTGTTCCGACAACATATGATACTGTAAGTACCCAACTAGTATATTTTTACAAAACCTACAAAAAGACCTAATAGGAGAATACAACTTCCTCCTACAATAGGAGGAAGAGTTTTTGAAACTCAAACACCGGTGACCCTCAATTAAATCCGGCGACTCTTTCTTCTCGTTTTATTTACTGTTTTTTGAGCTTTTGATATTATAAAAATCTAGATCTAAAATATGGTTTGATTGCTATTTGGATTTCGGCAGATCAGGCATGTATATAGCTTTTCCGGCGACTGTGAATTTTTCGGCCACTGCTGCGACCGGTGAAGTTTTCCGGCTAAACCATTTTGGGTCGAAAATCATTTCTCCAGTGAACCTGTGTTTGTGTTTGTGGGTCAAATACATAATTCGGTGGCTAGCCACTAGAATTACTTTTGGGCTATAAAATGTATATTGTAATTTTGGACTACCAGGTGTATAAATTTGGCCTGAGTGGCTATAAATGAATTTTGCATATTCTAGCTTGTTTTGTCAAGCTTGTGAAAGATTAGGAGTGCTTATCTTTAAAGAATAATACTTATTTTGAAGAGTTAAGATATTTGGCTTTGATTCGAAAAAAGATATTTCTATTATATAGAAATGGCAAAGATGGTTGACCAATGACATTTTTGCAAATTTAGCTGTATTTAAGGGCAAAATGATAATTACATCACAAGGTTAAAATAGAACTCTAGAAGGATCCATTTTCTTTCTCATTTCTAACAAAAAAAGAGCACCAACGTGCAACATCTAACTCATTTCTTCATCTTCTTCATCCAGGTATGCTTTCCTTTTAATTTTTACTAAAATTTCTCTTTGTTGTCTTCGTTCCTTCCAATTTTTGGTCTACCTTTGTTATATTTGTGTTGATTGTTGCTCGTTTCTTGAAGAACTCCGGTCATTTTTGCTTCAATGATGTTTCCTTAACATTGTCTTTTTGCTTTTCTAATTTTATTAGGTTGTTCTCTCTGTATTTCCAATAACAGCTTCTTCTTTCTCTTTGTCTCCCTCTCCCTCTCGGTTAATTCTTGAAGCTAGCATATACATCCTTTTTAGTTGTTGTCTTGCTATCATATTTGTCAGGAAGATTTTTATTTCTCATAAATAAGAGCTCTGTAATTGAACCATGATCAGATTTTGAAGAAGTGCAGCGAAAATTTAACAACAATTGCTTTTTTTCTAATCATATTACGATTTCAATTTTATTTTATGTATAATACGCTATTAACTGGCATGTTAGTTTTTTGGTCTGGTGCTAGAGAAAATTTGCTTTTGCTCTCTCTTAAATTTTGTTTATAGGAGTTTGTCTTTACTAAAAACTTAATCTTAATATAACACTCCAGTCATAAGTTGTAGTATATTAGCATAATGAAGAATAGCAGAAAGTGACAGCACTCTGAAAACCCATCAAACCTAAAAGTAATGTCTTAAAGCCAATGTCGAACTATTAGTTAAATTTATGATTTACTTTAAGAATTGGCGATTTGTAAAACTTTAAGACTGATTCATCCTATGCAAAAAAAAATTGAAAAGAAATTCCCTCTATATACTTTGTAAAACAATCTTGATGTTTAGAAATTTTCTTCTAAAATCGAGGAAATAAAGTCATATCCAGAGGACTGTTGACGAACTAAAGGACTAAAAGCCTGAGAACTTCAAGGTTTAAGGGTTCCTGATTGAACTGCTCCAATGGGTCTTCAATATGTATGCATTTTTCAAAATATTTTATAAATGTAGCTATATTGAAGTTACTCATTTGTCAACAATGAGTATTGTTGCTATAACTACAAAAGTCCATTTTCTCTTTGATCATATATTTGGTTCTAGAAGCAACAGTCAGAATTCCTTTTTATTTTTTCCCCTATCTTCTTTCTCCCCCCCTTCCCCCAAACTTTAGTCTTTATCATACTCCGAATCTTTAATTACTAATTATTAAGGTAAAAAATTTCTTGAAGTTAACCGTGGTTAATTTTAAAAGAATGAAGGCGCAAGCTAAGATAGTTCATGCGATCCGATGTTTTGGCCAAATTGCAAATTCCTGATGGTTTGCATGATAGAATTTGACACTTTTTGCCAAAAGGTGAGCGATTAGATCTTCATAAATCTTTTTATTATTAATTATTTCTTTATTTCTTATTTGAAATTGAGCGATAGTTCTTGTTACCGCAATCTTTTATGATAGATAAAAAAAATTATCGCTATTTAATCCTTAAATGAATAATTTTAAGAAATAATGAAATCTTTCTTTTAGTTTCTTGCTAAGAAGCTAGATGAAGCTTGACACTTTACAATGTTTATCGACGCTTCATATATACCATTCTTATTTTTGTATCAGATGTCTTCTTAGTGATGTATGTCTATGTAGCAAAATTAAAATATTTACAGACTTGGAAAAACTATTAGATATTTCATGAGCCATGAACCTATTTCAGTGGAAGAGGCTTCCTCTTCTAGGGCAGAACTTAAACTATAGAGTTAGTATCAGTATAGTAACAGTGCTTCTGATATCTGATAGGGTGTTATTGACTAACCACATAGGTTTCTTCTTCATTAATTTGCACATGTGCTTAGATACCATGTCACAAAATTTATAGGCTTCTCCTCTGCTTTAGCCACTTTCTTAATATCAACAAATAGACACGCTAAAGCAGCATTAGCATCAGTTTCCTTTTGAACATGAAACTCGCCATATTACCACCTATAATCTTTATTTAAATCATATATAGATCTTTTACAATTTAAGCTTCAGGATAAGCCTCCCACACCATTAGATGCCATATACCACATTCCACATCATGACTTATGGTGCTTGATTTGTAATTCTTAGCTATCTATTTGGTTATTTTTACTTTTATCACTTGTTCATTTATGTAGAGTAACAATAAACCAAGTACCATGTTCTGTCCGAGACATGTATCTCTTGAAATATATACTCTTGAAGTCGAGCATTCAGAAGAAGTCAAGCATTCTTTCTGAACACTTCTATGCTTGAGATCATCTTTACCGTACTGTTTTTTAATTAAGTGAAACGCCTAAAAAGTACTCTTTGTGTTATAGTAGAGATTTGGCTTTACGGTAGAGAAAGTAACAAATTGTGCCCAAATGTTTATCTGTTATAGCTAATAAACTATTGGATCAAGAATATGGTTGTTCCTGTATTTCTATTATTTTAACATATGATTGGAATGCATGTTCATCCTAGGAACATCAATAATTGATGTATGAAGGAGTTGCATTACCTTTTTATCTGATCTTATCTATGGTAACTTTGTCATGCAATAATTGTAGCTACTTACTAGCAAAAGATATTTCAAAAACTAAGTAATGAACAAATAGTGCCTTTGGTATATCATTTTGTATGGTTTACACGAAGTCATATGTTAGCAGTAGGATACAAGTAGCTCAGCTAATCGACGTAATAGTTTCTCCTTAAACTATTTTTAAAGGAAGGTAGAAATTTTATTACAATTGCTAATGGAACTCTTAAAGGTAAGGGTGTTATGGAATATATATCAATATATGGCATAGTTTCATTCAAGCTATGTGTTTATTTCTTTTTATTCTAGAATTACTCTGAGTCACTTGTTGTCTGATATATTTGTATGTCGTTATTCACCTGCTCCCCAAGATGTTACGGAAAACTATGGCTGTATCTATTAACTCCTACATTTAAATATCATATTCTACCTTATTTCATTTTTCTTGTGCTTTCTGGTGGCTAACATACCGTGTGTGATACATGACCTAATTGCGCTGTGATGAATTAAACAGTATTAGTCAGGCATTTCGATGGATCTGCCTGAAGTTAGACTTTGATAGTTTTTGTTCTCTAGGCGACACTCTGGTTCTTCGCATAACCCTTTCATCTGACGGCACGCTAAATAAGAGCTTTTTACTGTTGCATTTAGGTAATATTTCAGTCAAACTCATGCTTGCAGTGATGATTTCCTTTGATCACTAAAAAATTATAAATCTTGAGGGCAATTATTAAATTATCCTTTTTTGTGCAATTAGCAAGCCTTTTTTAAGGAGTAGCCTGCCACTAAATTAAGTATTCATCAAAGATATATTATTGTAACTGCCAGGTTAAGCCTGAAGGAAGAGAAGAAGAAAGGATATTCATGAGATGAAGGTACAATGAAGTACACCAGGAAATTAACATAATATGCTACTCTTTCAGGAGGATTTTTATTTGTTCAAGTCAAGATGGTGAAAAATATGCACAGGAACTTATGCGGACTCCTTTAAGTTGAAATATGGTTAATTAAAGTTAAGAGTTACCATATCAAAAAAGAAAAATATAAATTGACGCAAAAATGATGCCAAGAACAAACCAAAAGTTTGAGAAAGAAAAATACATATTTCTTAGGTCGAATGCATTTCAAGCATGTGATGCTCTTGCAGATAGAATTATACAAACTAGTTATCAATGTTAGTTGGCTGATCAAGCATTAGAAGTTAATTGATTAACTTTTGATTGAAAGGTTCAGATAAGCACCATTTCTAGCGGACTATATCTTGAAAGACATTATATGTCTGATTGTATAAGCTCTCCTATATTTTATAACATCTAAACAATTTCCATCTTTCGATTTTGATAGATACTAATTAATTATCAAAGAGAGTTGAAATGAGTCCCATGGCTGAGATATGTATTGTGTCAATTTTTATTTTGTTTCCTTGCTTTGTGCATACTACTACTGTTCATGTCTCTAAGTTATGATGCTATTTTTTTGTACATTATAAATTCATGAACAACTTAAGTGTAGCCAATAAGTGCTGGTTGTAACTTCATTTATTTATGCAAACAAAAATAAAAAATTAAAGAGCAAAGTAACTCATGAGCTGAACATATCCTAAATGTCTCTATTTAATTCAGAATTGAACGTGAGATGTCGACATTTCTCTTTGCTTCGTGGTTGTAATATGAGTTGAGTAGTCAATATAGCTCAAATTCATATGATATGCTAGATATTTTGATGACAAAAAATAGAGTGATCTTTTGCTTGCGAGCTGGTGGTATGCATGGTGGTTGACAAATTTTGTTGCATTACATCATTATAACGACTTTTAGATAGTGCTTGTTTAATCTGATCATTTGGTTTTGTATTTTTCTGGTTGTTATTTAATTATTTTAGGTGGTTGTAGAAAGTTATTTTCTTTATATTATATGCAAATAACCTGTTTGTCTAAGCTGATTACAGAATTAACATTAAAGTTTGTTCCTTGGCTAAGGGTGGCAAGTGGGCCGGTCCAGGTCCGGGACCGGCCCGGGATCGCGGGCCAAATGGACTAAACGGACCAGGAGTGTTTGGCCCGGTTTTAGTGGGTCTGGACCGGTCTCGTGGACCGGTCATATGATTTGGGCCCGCCAAGCCCGGAACCATTTAGCCCGCCAGGGACCGGGACCGGACCGGTCCCTTAGCGGGCCAAACGGTCCCAACAGCTTTTTTTTTTTAATTAGCCGTTGGGCTGTCAAAAATAGCCGTTGGCTATTTATAAAATAGCCATTTAACCCCCCAACTTTGTTTTAATCCCAAACTTTTTATATATTTAATATATATACTATACTATACTATATATACATCTTATATACTAATACATCTTAGTATATAAGATGTACTATNTATATATATATATACTATACTATATATACATCTTATATCGATATACTATATATACATCTTATATACTATATATATTCGATATTAAATATTGAATATTAAAATTTAGGATGTTAAATAAAATTTAGGTCACAATTCTATAATAAAATTTACAAAGTATTGCCTTAGATATTTTTTTTAACATCCTTTTGTCTCTAATATTTATTTAATTTTTTTTAAAAAAAATATATGTTGGGCCCACTTAGCCCGTTTAGCCTACGGGCCGGGACCGTTTAGTCCGGAATCAAACGGTCCCGGTTCCGGGCCGGTCCCTACAAAAATCCCGTTTAGCCTGGGACCGTTTGGCCAGTTTAATTTGGGTCCGGGACCAGTCCACTTGACCCGTTTAGGCTCGGGATCGACCCACTTGCCAGCCCTATCCTTGGCCAATTGTAGATTAGTACAGCTAATAAACAGTTGAACTCAAGAGGGTTGATTTGCTCAGCTTATGATAGGTTAAATTTATCTGTGTTGAACTGCTGATACCCGGAAGAAGGTAGCATATAAGAAGAGCATCTTGCTGTTGTATTTTGGTGCTATAATTAATGCTTATCCATTTTTAGTTCATTAGATGTAGAGCCCGTTTGGACATAAGAAATTTTTTTCTTTTTTCGATTTTTTTTAATTTTTTTTCGAAATCAGCGTTTGTTTTTAATTTTTACTTGAAAATGTATTTTGGAATTTTTCAAAAATTTGAAAAACTCCAAAAAACTGTTTTTCAAAATTCGCTCAGATGACTCACAAAACTTTAAAAACAACCCAAAATTATATTCATGTCCAAACACAACTCTAATTTTCAAATACCATTTTTACTTGATTTTTTTTTCATTTTTTTTGGAATTTTACAATTCTTACGTCCAAACGCCCACGTAGTACCAGGAAAAAGAATACAAATTCTATTTTTTCTACTTATAGGTCGCAAAACTTTAGTTTAACAACTTTTTTTTAAGGTACTTCACAATATGTTGGGCCCGTGCTATCACGGGCCATGCCCCATCTAGTAGATAAAGATATTATAACCAAAAAGCAATTTTTCTAGGACGCAAAGGCAAAAATAAAAAAAAAATATATATATTTTTTTAGGACAAAGTTATCCGTATAAAAATGTATATTCATCTAACATACGTTAAGCTAGGAAAAAAGTATTATTTCTAAAATACCCTAATGATTCAACGTTAAAATTATCATAGTGACCTAACATACCTAAAAAATCTTATGCGTTCAATGTATAATCTTTTTTTTCTTAAATGTTTCTTATTGTCTGGTAACCTAAACTCCAACATAAAATGTTCATTCTTTTGCAAAACGTAAAAATCATTATTCATATACCATATTTATAGCAATCCTTATTCTTACATCCCAAGTCTCGACATCAAATATATATA